GATGCCTCTGTGTCAAATAACTACTAATCCAATTCAAAGCCACTCCTCTGATCCCATATTTTTCTAACTTATCCATTAATAATTCATGATTGATTGTGTCAAATGCCTTTTTTAGGTCAATAAATATTCCTATCGTGTATTTCTTCTCATCCATAGCACTTGTAATGTCCTCCATCAGGTCGGTAATGGCCAAAGATGTCGATCGGTTCGACCTAAAACCATACTGACAATCAGAGAGGATTTTATGTTTATCAATAAATGTATCTAATCTGTTATTAAAGAGTTTTTCCAGAATTTTTGAAAATTGTGACAACCGAGAAACCGGTCTATAATTTGTGAAGTTGTGTTTATCACCAGATTTATACAGAGGAATAACCTTTGCTATTTTCATATTGTTAGGGAACTGCCCAAGTCGAAATGACATGTTAAAAATATGGGTTAATGGTTTGCCTATCTCTTTAATTACCCATTTAAATTAACGGAAGGGTACCAACAATTTTGTCTACGTTTGTATGTATAGATACACTTATAGGTAATAGAGAGCAGTGTTAATAAAATGGTTTATGTAATTTCATACTGCAACATTGATATATGTCGTGACAAAAAACATTCTGAGATAAATCAATTAACAGTGTCTTTATGGATTAACCATCCAGGTGGAAATGTCTATATTTTGTTCATTTCACAGAATAAAATACCTGACTATTCAAAATATAGTACATTATCAAATAGCTGTAATATAAAAATTCTTCCAGTGAAATATAGCAATAAAACTGCCCTGATCATTGATTTGTAACATTTCACATTATGGTCTAATGCAGAGATATTTAAGACACAGTTACAGCAGAACCTCTGTGGTCACAAAGAGGTGAGTTAAAATTAAATTCTGCCAAATTAAAATGGCAGAACTGCCTCATATGTTGGCCTCATATAACATATACACTAGTATACACCTCTAACTTTAGCTTGGCACTTGTGCAGGACTAGCAAACAGCGAATAAATATACACACATTTAATTTACAGGCTTCTTCATTTCTTTTGCCATGTTGAGAACAGAACATACAGGCCAAGATAATAATTACCTAACGAACCATTTGTTAATTTAATGTTGCTGACGAAATGACTGATACACCGATAGGGGCATTAAAAGCAACATATCAGATTGTTTACACTAACTGTACTCACCTGTGCTGCAGGAAATTGGTCTGAAAGTTCATATGGTTCCTCTGGAATCCACTGCCTTTGCTCCAAACACCAGAGAATCTACTCAAAGAAGAATAAAAGTAAAAGATAGTAAACCACTTCATCATCAGTTTTAAATATTGTCATGTATTGGCTTAAAAACATTTAGAAGTTACATACCCATTCAAAAGAGAGGATCCAGCAGCCACGAGCGATGCCCAACAGAATATTGAGAGTCCGCCGGTGACCTCCCGACACCACATGAGTTGTGCTCTCACAAACTCGGTCAACTACTGAAAAACCACCCAACACTTTGACCACCTGAACCACTGTGTTCTGCTTCCTGGAAGAGGTGAATAGAGTAGAAAGCATCCATCACAAAAGACATATCTTTTACCAACTTGCTCAACAATGCATTGAAAGTGCTATAAACAAAGAGTTTTTAAAATTTTAATACACTTACTCACTGGGCATGCTTGTCATGACCAATGTTCTCATAGCCTGAAACAAAGATAAACACACAAAATGTATGACAAGGATAAAAAATAACTGCGAATCAAATTTCCTATTACTGAAAAAATGGACAGTTTAGTTAATACTGTGTAAATAAATCTAATTGTAAATAAATTTGATAAAAGCTGTAAGTGAGAAAAAGAATGATATTATTTCATCCATTACACAACGTGCTATAAAGTGTTGACAAACGCACAGATTAGTTTCTTGGCTTACATATGTAGGGGCAGAAAGCAGGAAAGAAATCTTTTAAATCCATGTAGAACAAATCTACATTTTAAAGTAGCCAAGCTAATACGGCATCTATAAATTAAAAATGTGTCCAATCACCTGGAACTTTACCTTGTTCTTTTGGGTGTATGTATGTAATGTGAGCTGGTGTGTTGAGGGATACACAGAGTGACAGTGAACAGATGAAAGGATGACTATCTAACAGTGAGACAAACTATGCACTTTCAATAACCCTGTTGGATATAATTGCTGCATAGAGACCAAAAAGGAAATCAAACTCCAAGGCCATGAGTAGAGGAAAACATATTCAGAGCCAATGAAACTGAACCTGACAACTGTGGTCCATCCAGCCACGTACTATCATCAACACAAACATTTGAGTAGCAGTTACAAACAGGACCACCAGGCCCTTTCCTGCCATACTCTGATATCTGGTCCTCCAGCTGGAAGTCAGGGGTTAAGGTCTGCTTAACACAGTGGTGCCAAAACAATTCACCAGTGCCGCCCACACCAGGCAAACATCACAGTATCCCTGATAAGCAAGATGGGATGCCAATGAGTTGGTTACCCTCATGCCATTACTGCTACTCCACACTTGTCGTGACAATATGTTAGTGAACCACAGCAGGGTCATCTTCCACACACACTACTGACATAACAGTAACTTATTTTGAGGTTGTTTAATCTATGTCTAAAAACTCACAATATGAGTAGCTATTCTGAAGGTTCCTCAGAGGTAACTTTTGGCTTATGGACATAGACAAAAAGCTGGTGTGTACTGCAACATAGCTGCTGAGCACAAATGTTCCCAGCAAAAATAAAGGAAACTCTTCACTGTATTAGTTAGTCTACAAGATGGCTACTGTTTTCACACAGTGAAACTTGTGGCACTCAGAAAATCAAAGAGAGATGAGGAACTTGGTTCGCTGCAAAAGTCAAGGTCAACTGGAGATGTGACAGCCAATTACAAATAGTAGTTATGAAAGCAAAAACCCAAAATTGCCACCATGACTAAAAACTACCATGGGTACATATGGTAGCTCATATCAGTTTCAACGTTCTAAAAATTACCTACAGTGGTGTGAAAAAGTATTTGCCCCCTTACTGATTTCTTATCTTTTTGCATGTTTGTCACACTGTAATGTTTCAGATCATCAAACAAATTTAAATATTAGTCAAAGATAACACAAGTAAACACATCATGCAGTTTTTAAATGAAGGTTTTTATTATTAAGGGAAAACAAAATCCAAAACTATATAGCCCTGTGTGAACAAGTGTTTGCCCCCCTGTCAAAACACTGGTTTATCGCACCTGAGTTCAATTTCTCTAGCCACACCCAGGCCTGATTACTGCCACACCTGTTCGCAATCAAGAAATCACTTAAATAGGACCTGCCTGACAAAGTGAAGTAGACCAAAAGATCCTCAAAAGCTAGACATCATGCCGAGATCCAAAGAAATTCAAAACCAAATGAGAAAGAGAATAATTGAGCTCTATCAGTTTGGAAAAGGTTATAAAGCCATTTCTAAAGCTTTGGGACTGCAGCGAACCACAGTGAGAGCCATTATCCACAAATGGCGAAAACATGGAACAGTGGAGAACCTTCCCAGGAGTGGCCGGCCGACCAAAATTACCCCAAGAGCGCAGCGACAACTCATCCAAGAGGTCACAAAAGACCCCACAACAACATCCAAAGAACTGCAGGCCTCACTTGCCTCAGTTAAGGTGAGTGTTCATGACTCCACCATAAGAAAGAGACTGGGCAAAAATGGTTTGCATGGCAGAGTTCCAAGACGAAAACCACTGCTGAGCAAAAAGAACATAAAGGCTCGTCTCAGTTTTGCCAGAAAACATCTTGATGATCCCCAAGACTTTTGGGATAATACTCTGTGGACAGACGAGACAAAAGTTGAACTTTTTGGAAGGTGTGTGTCCCATTATGTGTGGCGTATATGTAACACCGCATTTCAGAAAAAGAACATCATACCAACAGTAAAATATGGTGGTGGTAGTGTGATGGTCTGGGGCTGTTTTGCTGCTTCAGGCCCTGGAAGACATGCTGTGATAAGTGGAACCATGAATTCTGCTGTGTACCAAAATATCCTGAAGGAGAATGTCCGGCCATCCGTTTGTGACCTCAAGCTGAAGCGAACTTGGGTTCTGCAGCAGGACAATGATCCAAAGCACACCAGCAAGTCCACTTCTGAATGGCTGAAGAAAAACAAAATGAAGACTTTGGAGTGGCCTAGTCAAAGTCCTGACCTGAATCCAATTGAGATGCTGTGGCATGACCTTAAAAAGGCAGTTCATGCCCGAAAACCTTCCAATGTGGCTGACTTACAACAATTCTGCCAAGATGAGTGGGCCAAAATTCCTCCACAGCGCTGTGGCAGACTCATGGCAAGTTATCGAAAACGCTTGATTGCAGTTGTTGCTGCTAAGGGTGGCCCAACCAGTTATTAGGTTTAGGGGGCAAACACTTATTCACACAGGGTTTTGTAGTTTTGGATTTTGTTTTCCCTTAATAATAAAAACCTTCATTTAAAAACTGCATGATGTGTTTACTTGTGTTATCGTTGACTAATATTTAAATTTGTTTGATGATCTGAAACATTACAGTGTGACAAACATGCAAAAAGATAAGAAATCAGTAAGGGGGCAAATACTTTTTCACACCACTGTAAACCTGAACAAATCCCTTAATGTTTGTATTAAAACCATAACTTCAGATGACTAAAATTATTTATCATCAAACAGCAAACCTGCACTGTTTTTACCCCAAGTTGAGCAAAAACAAATCTGCACTTCACAGATTGATGAGGCAGCAGATGTGACCTCCAGTGACCGTGTTTCCAATACTGCCTAAATCTAATACCATATTTGGACATCATCGTTATCATGATCTACATAAAACAAAGAGAACAACGGCAACATCTCTGTGATTGGGCTAGAGTAAAATCAACCGATAACAAATCCTGGGGGAAATGATGTCACACTTGTCTTTTTTCAGCTACAGCTTGTTGAGGTTACCAGTGTAACGAAAACAGGGGCCAGGTGCATTTCACAAGCAAGGAAGTTATACAGTACTGTACCATCACAGAGGCAAAACACAGGAAACCCTCAGGACCAGACAAAAATGCTTGGCTAGATGCATCAAACGCCTACAGCTACATAAGTGTATGACCTTATGGAGGAAATACTTAAACAATACTACTGATGTTTATTATACCTCTTCAAATTCTTATATTACAGATAACCATTAGTGTCAGGAAATGTTTTTCCCCATTTTTGCAGCTGCAATAAAGAAAGTCTGAAGAAAAAAGAGAAAATATGTTTATACACCGTTTACACCATGTCGAGTGTGCACACAAGAATTTTACTAAAATGAGAAAAAAGGTGTCCCATCAAAATGTGAACTGTCTCAAAGTCAACTGCACACAACAGTGGACAAACAAGCAAGTCTATAAATTGGCAAATAGAAAATGTGGTATTTTAACTGCATTTACATGCCACACCAGTGTTTTTTATGAAGCAGTAAGCTTCCTGCTGGTGACTTAATACTTGTAACATCCTGTTTTTTTTGCTATCCTGTTTTAATTTTTTCCCACAACACTGTAGGAAATGTACCATCAACATGCATTTTTTCAGGAAAACTGACTGCGTCATCAAATGCAATAATTGACTCCAAAATACAGAATTGCACATTTAAGTTAGACGTTTTAAAACAGTCTTCTTACCTTTGTTTTATTCACCGTTTTCTGAAGACTAAAGCTGTCTTGCTTACTGAGACTCTTTTTGTCACCAGAGGGGATCTCTGTTACACCAGCTGCAACTGTACATTCATTTCCTCTACCTACATTTGAAAACAAGAAAACAATTATACTGTGAGGGGGATGTCACTCAAGCTATGGCACAGCAGGCACTGTCTTTGTGTGTATTCATGTTCATCTCATTTCTATTGTGTTTGCACCTAACTGAAATCTGTTACTACTAAACCACTTAGTTAGAAATTCAATAAATCTAAATGAATCATTAAAAATGATGATTTATTTAAAATTTTAAGAAAAACATGTGTAGACTCAAATATTCTTAGTTCTCAAATATATTTAGCTTCTGTCCGGGAACAGAATCCATGAACATAACACAGTTTTTATCAGTAGTTTAAATGAAATGTCTGTCATCAAAAGGGTCTCATCCACTGCCAAAACCCACAGTACTTAAATCTGTGACTTGGCTCAAACTAGCAGCTCTTTTAATACATGAACTAAAATGAAGACAATGTTTTCTGATAGTGTACAATTTGCTTACATCTGTAATGCTTTTAACACAACACAACATTTTCTATCTGCAAGTCAGGCCACTACTTAAAACCATCTTGGGTGTCAGGCCTCAGCATGCGTTGAGTGAGATGTAAGGAACACCATGGGTAGCAGCACTCTAATGTACCACATTTATGAGATCTAAATTATGAAGTAGGCCTTAAAAGACAAACATATACAGAATAGTACAAGAACATTCATATAAAAAGGGCTTGTTTGTCTACATTAAAGTTATTTCTTTATTCTTCTCTTTAACATGTGACATCCACAAATACAAATTTACTAATCATTCATTAATGATTCAAGCATTCCCTGATGGAATAATCATGCTGCTAATCTTTTGAAACCACAGACATGGCCTAGGAATTGCAGGCACAGTTACAAACCAGCACTAGTGCAAAACTTAAAACATCATTAATACTTTTCTTTTGGTCTGTTCATTATAATGAAGGCAACAGAGTAAGTCTGAATACTGGTTCCACTGTCATTAAAGTGCACTTTCTAAACTCTGACAGCCTTATTACTCACTTTTCAAAGTCTGAGAAAGGACACTGACATCAGAGTTTTTCTGCAGCTCCAATACCATATTAGCTTCTGTTAACACTGTTAGTTGTTCTGATGTAGATGCTCTTCTCTGTTTCAGTGCATCATTTGTAGTTCCACTGGGGGCACGGGGACTATTCAGTGTAGGCAGATATTCTTTAACATCCTGATGTTGATGACTCTGAGACCGACTGTTTGCATCAGACTGCTGACTGTCATTTTTGCCACACAGACTTTCTTCCAGCTTAGACTTCTTTTTACTGTTTTCAGATCCAGTGTTTTCATTTCTTCGTTTTCTCTTCTTTGGGACAGCGGCCAACTCAAAAGGAATCTCAGTGTCACTCTCCTCACATAGATTAGGCACATGAGGTCTTCTCACTCTCTGGTGGTGGTTAGCTGGGGAGAAATAGTCCTCAAACACACAATCGTCTCTGACAGTACAGCCTGAGACAACACTTTCAGATTCATCAAACCGATTGAAAGACTGTGCTGAGGTAGAAAGTGATGGTGTAGCTTTTTGGGGTGTTTCCTCAGCTGGAGTAACAGTTTCTTTTGACAGTTCAACTGCAGCATCAGTTAACGTGGTTGATGATGAGAGGCAACTAGAATAGTTGAGGGAACCTGAACAAATCTGGGTCTTAGTCTTTGTAAAGGATATGTCTGCTTTAAATTGTCGGTCTCCTTTGTCAAATTTGTAAAATGATGGGCCAGAACATTTTAACTGTGATTGCCCCTTGTCTTTATGAAAGCTCTTGCTACTGTCAGAGCTCCTCTCCTGACAAGGACTTTCTAATAAGCCTGTGGATTTGTGCTTCTCTGCTGGATTTTTTCTGACTGAGGTCCTTCTTGACTTTTTTGGTCTATTCTCTTCTTCATCCTCTGTGTCACTGAAGTTAAGACATTTCAAAGGACTTGACATCCATTTTGGTACATCAGGACAAGGTGAGGGTGAAGGTATTTCAGAGCCTTTTCTGTGCCATTTTTCAACATGGACATGGTCAGTAACATCAACTTGCATCTTCTCTTCTGCACTGGGTAAGTAACCACATTCAGCAGCAGAAGCACAAGAATCATCATCTGACTGGTCACCTATATAAAAGCAAATAATAATAATTAAGGTTTGTATGCATCTTTTAGCCATCTTTTGTTCATTGTTTTGTTTTGGGGTTTAACATAACAATGCTGTTCTTTTTCTACTCTCTCCAGTAGTCACATTCTTTTAATGAAACTTTAAATGGATGCCTGAAAACCACTCACAATGGACACAGGAGTCACAGACACCAACAAAAAAATAAAAACTTTATCAACATATAGACAAATAAAATATGCAGTTCACTGTAGCTTTTTTACTTTACCCACTATAAACACCTAGGACTCACTTAATAATTCTTATCATTATTTAACAATTTGTACATTTTCATTGCAGATTCAAGAGTCAGTTAGAATTTTTCAGAAATGTGCTTTAATGTTCTCTTTGTTTGCAGAACATGTGTCAAACTCAAGGCCCGTGGGCCACATCCGGCCCGCGAGATCATTTTATATATCCTTTTTTTAATGGCCCGGCGATATGAAGCAGATAACACACAAACTACAAATCCCACAATGCAGCGCAACAGCTGCCTTACCGAACGATAGGCTACCTGCGATCATTCCCGCATCAATTACATCAGATCAATCAAGTGTCTGTTGATGTATACAACCCTAATTTCAAGTCAAAGCTAGCCCCTAACAATGGCCAAGAGAAAAGTTGATTCTGAAAACAGAGCCTTTCAAAACCGGTGGGAGGCTGAGTATATGTTTACTGACATTGCCGGTAAACCCGTGTGTCTTATTTGTGGAGCTAATGTGGCTGTAATTAAGGAATATAACCTAAGACGGCACTACAAGACAAAACATCAGGACAAGCTGAAAAACGTGAATGCAGAGCAGAAGCTACAGAAGGTAGAGGAGTTGAAGAGGAATCTGACATCACAGCAGACGTTTTCACCAAAGTGAAATCACAGAGTGAAGCTGCTGTGAAAGAAGTTTTATTGTGGCAGAGGAGAAAATCAGCCCGGACATTTACCGAGGGAGAGTTTGTGAAGAGCTGCATGATGAAAGTGTGCGACGTCTTGTGTCCAGACAAAAAAGCAGGTGTTTGTAAATGTAAGGCTTAGCAGAAATACGGTTGCTGATTTTAAGTTCAAGTTTATTTATTTGGAATAATATTGTATCCTGTCTGTTTAGATTCATATTTCTGTTAAAAAAATGTTTAGTTTTAGTCTGTTCAACAAATGTTTATCCTGTTTGGCCCACGACCTAAAGTGTGCTTTGAGTTTTGGCCCCCTGTGCGACAGAGTTTGACGCCCCTGGTTTACAGTGATTCAACTATATTATATTCAGAGGTGTTCCTAATATTTGGACCCTCTCATGTATGTTGCTGGGGAGGACAAAAATATAGACACCTCTAAATATAATGTAGTGCAGTACAACACCCTTCCTTTTTTAGATGCATTTATATCATACGAATTATTGCAATACAAATTCAAACAGGTAAAAGGGGGTCCATGCTACTCCCTGTACCTAGAATTTGATCTTCAGTTTGGAAAGGAAACCAAAAACTACACTGCAGTTTTGGATTGAAAGAAACATTTTCTTACACATTAATTTGAAGAATGTTGGCGTGCTCCCAAGAGAAGGCTTCAGCTCGCTGGGTGAGCAGGATTTATTCATTTGCGAATCTGAAAGACAGTGACACTGGGTGAACTGGCAGGCATTTCAAAAGTGTGGAAATGTATTTAAGACCTTGCCGGTCCATCAGCCTGTACACGTACCTGTGGGTGAGAGGTTTTTCTGATTCTCTTTCATGTCTTTCAAACGCTTTGCCATATATTCTGATCTTTTCATTGAAGGGCTGTATATTATTCCATTCTCTTCATCAATAATGATGGGCGACACATCTGTAACTGTGTTAAAAGACTTGTGAGGTGACAAACATCCTTTTGCGGTAATGACCATTTCCCAGAGGTATAATGATGTCTTACCCAGAGGTTCTACTGGAGGGAGGGCTTTCTTCATCTTCTCTAATTTCTTCCTCATGCGCCAGTCATTCTGAGGTGTTCTCACTGGTGAATCTTTTGGCTGCATGCAACGATGCTATATGAATCAAGCACCAAAAATGTTTAATTAAAAACTAAACAAATCCATGTTTGAATACTTCCACGGTCAAAATCGTGATGCCAGGTAAGAGGAAATGTTCTCAGTTTGTTTAGAAAAGCTGAATAATGGCTCCACTGCTTTCTCACTCACTCTATGCAAAATAACACTAGGTCATACAGGAGCACTTGACACCTCTTTTACTGATTCTTATTAAACTACAGAATATGGCTTAACGAACAGTAGGCCCAACACTGATTTACAATGACAGCTTAATGGTATAGTCAGTGATTCAAGTCATTACACATTTTCTCATATTCAGCTAAATATTTCCTTTCCTCACATTTCTCTGCCTGGTCAAAAAAATTCACAACATTAGTGCAGCTGATGGGGTGAGATGCCTGAAAAAGTACCAGCCCCACCACTTACACTTACCTATACAACTAAACAAGCAGAGAAAGACAGAGGCATGAAAAACATTAATCGGGAAAAGGTGGGAGATCTGTGTATATGTAGCTGTGCTGCTTTCCAAAGATGGTTCAGGATTTAAAAGGGATGAGGATGGACACAAAGGTTGCTCTTTTTCTACTGGACAAGTGGGTTAATTCTTTGCTATGTGCCACTGAAAATTGTTAAGGTCACTATGATGTTGAGGTAGCCTAATCTTTATGGTAATGTTACATTAGCAAATACCTGTCACTTTAGCCTGTTTGCTAAATCAAATTTTCCTGGAACATTCAGCTAAGTTGCTAGTATGCGGCTCTTCTGACTTCAGTTATAGCAGCCAGAGATTGTTGTGAATAACAGTGGAGTCTGTAGCTGGTTAGCCACATGTTGTGCCCCACTTGCTAGTTTTCTGACATCTCCTTGGGCATGGGCTCTTCCTCCAGCTGCTAGTATTATCACCATGACAACGCACATTCATGAATTTTGAGCGATGTGGTTAGGAGCTTCTAACTGAAAAGACTTGCGTATTTGTGCACACAGTGATCCAAATGTTTACACTGTTTTGCTAGAATCGTTGACTATACCTTTAAACTAAAACTGACACCAAACTAAACATCACATGTACATCTGACTCTACTCACTCTCTTGTGCGGATTACTTTCATCATTTAAGGCTGGATACAACTCCTCATCTGCATGCACACCGTCATCAAAACATCTGGACATCATTTCACCAAAAACAAATAATGAATGACAAAATATTGTAATACTTCATAACAGTACAATCAAAAATATTATAGAATTGTTCAAGTTAAAAGAAACGCCACAACCCTCAGTGTTAATCTTACCTGCCTACCCAGAGAACAGAGACGAGCCGTACATCACTTTCCTTAGCTCTCCTCCATGTAGCCGAATGTCCATTGTGAAAGACTACATGTGTGACATGTTTATTGAATCTTTTTGCTACCTGTAAAAGAAAAGGCATTTGGGTTTTGCAAAGTATATATATATATATATATATATACTGTCTGTAAATACTCTAAATATCTTACAATATAGTGCAAATGTGTCTCTGTGCGCTGTGGTCTCACCTGAGCTCCCATTTCCTGCAGCTGTTGAACAAATGGTTTTGAATAGTTTGCTGTTTTGTCTGATGACCACACATCAACATAGGCAACAACATCTGCAGACACATTGAACAACAGTGTCACAGGGCATAAAAGCTCAAAGTTGATTAACTGCAGTAAAACTAAGATGACATATAATACCTTGAAGAACTGAGCATTTGTTGTTGCTTGTGGTCTGAATGCAGAGCAGAAGCTACAGAAGGTAGAGGAGTTGAAGAGGAATCTGACATCACAGCAGACGTTTTCACCAAAGTGAAATCACAGAGTGAAGCTGCTGTGAAAGAAGTTTTATTGTGGCAGAGGAGAAAATCAGCCCGGACATTTACCGAGGGAGAGTTTGTGAAGAGCTGCATGATGAAAGTGTGCGACGTCTTGTGTCCAGACAAAAAAGCAGGTGTTTGTAAATGTAAGGCTTAGCAGAAATACGGTTGCTGATTTTAAGTTCAAGTTTATTTATTTGGAATAATATTGTATCCTGTCTGTTTAGATTCATATTTCTGTTAAAAAAATGTTTAGTTTTAGTCTGTTCAACAAATGTTTATCCTGTTTGGCCCACGACCTAAAGTGTGCTTTGAGTTTTGGCCCCCTGTGCGACAGAGTTTGACGCCCCTGGTTTACAGTGATTCAACTATATTATATTCAGAGGTGTTCCTAATATTTGGACCCTCTCATGTATGTTGCTGGGGAGGACAAAAATATAGACACCTCTAAATATAATGTAGTGCAGTACAACACCCTTCCTTTTTTAGATGCATTTATATCATACGAATTATTGCAATACAAATTCAAACAGGTAAAAGGGGGTCCATGCTACTCCCTGTACCTAGAATTTGATCTTCAGTTTGGAAAGGAAACCAAAAACTACACTGCAGTTTTGGATTGAAAGAAACATTTTCTTACACATTAATTTGAAGAATGTTGGCGTGCTCCCAAGAGAAGGCTTCAGCTCGCTGGGTGAGCAGGATTTATTCATTTGCGAATCTGAAAGACAGTGACACTGGGTGAACTGGCAGGCATTTCAAAAGTGTGGAAATGTATTTAAGACCTTGCCGGTCCATCAGCCTGTACACGTACCTGTGGGTGAGAGGTTTTTCTGATTCTCTTTCATGTCTTTCAAACGCTTTGCCATATATTCTGATCTTTTCATTGAAGGGCTGTATATTATTCCATTCTCTTCATCAATAATGATGGGCGACACATCTGTAACTGTGTTAAAAGACTTGTGAGGTGACAAACATCCTTTTGCGGTAATGACCATTTCCCAGAGGTATAATGATGTCTTACCCAGAGGTTCTACTGGAGGGAGGGCTTTCTTCATCTTCTCTAATTTCTTCCTCATGCGCCAGTCATTCTGAGGTGTTCTCACTGGTGAATCTTTTGGCTGCATGCAACGATGCTATATGAATCAAGCACCAAAAATGTTTAATTAAAAACTAAACAAATCCATGTTTGAATACTTCCACGGTCAAAATCGTGATGCCAGGTAAGAGGAAATGTTCTCAGTTTGTTTAGAAAAGCTGAATAATGGCTCCACTGCTTTCTCACTCACTCTATGCAAAATAACACTAGGTCATACAGGAGCACTTGACACCTCTTTTACTGATTCTTATTAAACTACAGAATATGGCTTAACGAACAGTAGGCCCAACACTGATTTACAATGACAGCTTAATGGTATAGTCAGTGATTCAAGTCATTACACATTTTCTCATATTCAGCTAAATATTTCCTTTCCTCACATTTCTCTGCCTGGTCAAAAAAATTCACAACATTAGTGCAGCTGATGGGGTGAGATGCCTGAAAAAGTACCAGCCCCACCACTTACACTTACCTATACAACTAAACAAGCAGAGAAAGACAGAGGCATGAAAAACATTAATCGGGAAAAGGTGGGAGATCTGTGTATATGTAGCTGTGCTGCTTTCCAAAGATGGTTCAGGATTTAAAAGGGATGAGGATGGACACAAAGGTTGCTCTTTTTCTACTGGACAAGTGGGTTAATTCTTTGCTATGTGCCACTGAAAATTGTTAAGGTCACTATGATGTTGAGGTAGCCTAATCTTTATGGTAATGTTACATTAGCAAATACCTGTCACTTTAGCCTGTTTGCTAAATCAAATTTTCCTGGAACATTCAGCTAAGTTGCTAGTATGCGGCTCTTCTGACTTCAGTTATAGCAGCCAGAGATTGTTGTGAATAACAGTGGAGTCTGTAGCTGGTTAGCCACATGTTGTGCCCCACTTGCTAGTTTTCTGACATCTCCTTGGGCATGGGCTCTTCCTCCAGCTGCTAGTATTATCACCATGACAACGCACATTCATGAATTTTGAGCGATGTGGTTAGGAGCTTCTAACTGAAAAGACTTGCGTATTTGTGCACACAGTGATCCAAATGTTTACACTGTTTTGCTAGAATCGTTGACTATACCTTTAAACTAAAACTGACACCAAACTAAACATCACATGTACATCTGACTCTACTCACTCTCTTGTGCGGATTACTTTCATCATTTAAGGCTGGATACAACTCCTCATCTGCATGCACACCGTCATCAAAACATCTGGACATCATTTCACCAAAAACAAATAATGAATGACAAAATATTGTAATACTTCATAACAGTACAATCAAAAATATTATAGAATTGTTCAAGTTAAAAGAAACGCCACAACCCTCAGTGTTAATCTTACCTGCCTACCCAGAGAACAGAGACGAGCCGTACATCACTTTCCTTAGCTCTCCTCCATGTAGCCGAATGTCCATTGTGAAAGACTACATGTGTGACATGTTTATTGAATCTTTTTGCTACCTGTAAAAGAAAAGGCATTTGGGTTTTGCAAAGTATATATATATATATATATATATACTGTCTGTAAATACTCTAAATATCTTACAATATAGTGCAAATGTGTCTCTGTGCGCTGTGGTCTCACCTGAGCTCCCATTTCCTGCAGCTGTTGAACAAATGGTTTTGAATAGTTTGCTGTTTTGTCTGATGACCACACATCAACATAGGCAACAACATCTGCAGACACATTGAACAACAGTGTCACAGGGCATAAAAGCTCAAAGTTGATTAACTGCAGTAAAACTAAGATGACATATAATACCTTGAAGAACTGAGCATTTGTTGTTGCTTGTGGTCATAACTCGCTTCTTTAACTCCAAGATTCACCTATACAGAACCAATGAAGACATTTGTTTTTGAGGATCAGCCTCACAACACATAGGGCACGTAAGGCTTCTTTTTAAAAAAAAATAAATAACACAAGTTATGAAACAAAATAAGTAACTCATTACATGAGTGGAGCTGTTCTTTTGCTTCAGTAGGATGAATATAACTAATGTCACACAACCAAACACTTATTTACTAATCACATCAAAACCATTGAGGATACAAGCGTCTGATCAAAAGCTGTGCAGCTAGCGTGCATGTATCAAGCTGCTTTGCAAGGGACTGGAAACTGGCAGTCTACTATAAAAACCTGACACTAAGCAAGGTTGTTTTCCTTTTTCTCTGTAGGAGTCATAGTCAATGATGGGGTCCATGCCATATACCTACTATTACCCGACATTTCTGAAC